TGCCCTCCTGCCCCTGGTGCCCGCCTGCCCCTGGTGCCCTCCTGGCCCTGGTGCCCGCCTGCCCCTGGTGCCCTCCTGCCCCTGGTGCCCGCCTGGCCCTGGTGCCCGCCTGGCGGGGGGTGGCACCTGTACTTGGTGGGGAACATCCGCTCGCAGTCCTTGCACTCGTGGGAGGGGTCGCTGCCCCCGCCACCGAGGCCCTCGGGCTTGAGCCCCTCCCCCAGGCCCTGGTAGGCGGCGGTCCCCGCAGAGCCGCAGGCGTACTTCTTGTGGCGCCGCAGGTCCACCTTGCACGGGAAGAGCTCGTCACACTCGTCACAGCGGAACGTGGGCTCCTCTGCAAGACAGGACAGGAGGTGGCAGCAGAGCCAGAGCCCCCCTGCCTGGCTCTCCTCTGCCTCCATCCTGGAGCCAGGGTCCCCGGGGCCTGGGAACCACAGGGACGGAAGACCCYGGCTCTGCCTCCTGGGAAACACTGAGCCCACCGCATGGGGGCCCTGGCCGGGCCTCAGGCAGCCACTGTGGGCAGAGGGGGCTCTGTCTGGGAGCCAGAAGGAAGCCAGGCCAAGGCTTTGTTTATGAATCAGGGGAAGAGACGACAGAGCGCCAACGCGTATAATAAATTATTGTCATCAAGGTCAAACAAATTAAAAGGGGGGCAGCTATTATTAAGTTTATGAGCAGCATCCTGACCACGGTGCCAAGCCAAACAATCAGGCTGGAGCTGTCACCCTGCGGGGGTGGGTCTGGGCCCCCTCCCGCCTCCCCGGCCTGTGCTGCTGGAGGACAGCTTCCACCCAGAGCCTGTGTCCCCACCCAGGAACCCTGCTTGCCACCTGGCTGGAGAGAGAACACCTGCTCTGACCTCTCACAGTAGCACAGCACATTCGTGTGCTTGTGGGCACGTGTGGGTGTGCAGACACATGCTTGTGCATGGTGTGTGCAGCTGCATGGGGTGTATTTGCAGGAGTCTGACCAGCCCAGCACAACTGTACCATGTTTGTGCATCTTTGTGTGAACATGTGTGCATGTCTGTGTATTTGCACCCATATCCATGAGCATGCATTTGTGTTTACATGCACATGTGTGTACGTGAACATGTGTTCATGGGTTTCTAGGCAACTGTGTGTGCAAATATTTGTGTATTGGCATATTTCCAAGCTTGCACATGTGTAGTATGCATGTACTGTGCAAATGTGCCTGCATTTGGGGTATATACATGTTTGTATCCATCTTTGTGTGTCCACGTGTGCGCACTTTGCATGTGTGCATGTGTTTTGGTGGCTCATGCATGCATGTTGTGTTGTGTTGTCACTTGTGAGCACATAACTGTGTCATGTGTTATGTAGGCACATACTTATGTGCACATGTATGCTTTGAGTGTGCGCATCGCATGTGCGCGTGTGCAGTGCATCCACGTGTATTGTGAATGCATGAACACGTGTGCACAGGTTCAGATGCGAGGATGTATGTCAGGGGTTGCATGTGCTCAAGTGAACGTGTGGGTGTGCACGTGCCCAGCCTGGGCAGAGCCTCGGTGAACTGGGCTGACTGAGAAGGCTGGAGCTGCAGGGTTCCGAGGCAGGAGAAATGGGGACGAAGGAGAGACAGCTATGACCAGGGGCCACCTCCAAGTCCTGGAGGAGGCGAGATGCTCTGCAGCCTGGGCATTGTGATAGCCATGGGCAGGGGCACCTCCTGATACTGGAGGCTTCCCTGAGTCCAAGGGTAAAGGCCTGGGCTGCACTGCCACCCCTAATGGTGGGAACCCAGTGCCACCTYGAGTCCCTAAGATGCTGCTGCTGAGCCCACAGGGTGACACCTACAGGACACCAGTGCTGCCCACCAGCTGTGACTCCTGGCCAAATCTTTGGAAARGGGCTAATATCTGGGTGGCAAGGAAGGGCTGCCAGGCCAAAAGAGGGCCTTGGGCCTGCGTGGGTTTGGGGCCACGCGGTAGATGCCACTTCTAGTCCAGATAACCCAGTTTCACCAGGAGTTAGGTGTCCTGTCCCTGCTGATTCATCTGAGACTGTGGCCAACAAGGAACTTGCTGGGGAGGACGAGACCACAGAGAAAGAATACAGTGAGCCCTCCAGATCTGCAGACCCTCACCCACACAGCCCTGCTGGGCCACATGGGGTGTGCGCTGCAGCCTCATGCTGGACACTGGGCACCCAAGTCTCTATCCCAAAATCTGTCGGGAAGGCCACCTGGGATCATTCCTGGACAGGTGCAGAGCCAGAAAAACCCTCCTAGGCCCTGGACTCATCCTTGGGTGCCAGGGTGGGACCCCCAATGGGAACCTCAGAGTGAGGAGGGGGAGGAGGAGGGCAAAGGTGACTCACATTACAGAAACAGTCACCTCCAGGTCTACACGATGGCTTTAATATAACCCAGTGTGCAGGACCTTTTCAAGAGGTGTTTGCTGTGAACATTATGTAAACAGTGGTGTTCACACGGGAGGTTCCCTGGGCACCTGTGGGGCAGGCGCTGTCCTAGGAGCTTCACGGGATTCATGTATTCGAGCCTTGCACTAACCCGAGCGCCATGGGTGCTATCTGTGTGTCCCACTTTGTCACAGAAGAGATGAGGGACACCACCAGCATCGGAACCAAGTCACCAATTTATGGTGCTTCTCTAGTCCCCCACCCCAAAAAGCAGCACAACTGCAGAAGCCGAGGTTTGAAAACAAAGACAAGAAGAAGTGCCACCTCCATCACCCATCCCGCTGACCAACTCATTTTTCCATTTTTGATTTGAAATTTGGATTTAAAATAAAAATCTGGGGGGCTAGGGGTGTAGCTCAGGGGCAGAGCACGTGAGCATGCGTAAGGTCCTGCAGAAGCCCACAAGACACCATGCAACAGAATCAGCAGAGGACTTGACAGGTTTAAAATGAAAGTCCAGATTCTGATTCTGGTGGTGTCCGAGGGCACACTGGAGGCAGTGCAGTGGGCCATGGTGACACACGGTGTTCCATCGTCCTGGGTCCCATTCTTCTGCAAACTCCCGTGCCCCCCCCCACCCCCCCGCGCGGAAGACACAGCGGAGCCTCACCAGCCCCTGTGTGTGGTGTGGACGGGCCCTTCAGCTTCCCGCAGGCAGGGGAGGCGGGATCCGAGTGCACATGGGTGTCCCTTCAGCAGCCACAGCAACCCCATCTTAAAGAAGTGCTAAAAGTGTGTGCGACACCCGGACGCGCGTCCTGTGGCAACCCATGGTGTGGTGTGTCTGTCCCACACTGTACGCACACACGGTGTCCTCGGGACCTTCCCTGGGGAGGGGGCAGTGCATTATTGTGAGCCTCTCTAGATGGGAAAGCGCATTTGAATACAAAGGACTTTATTTTCTCCCAAGACCAAGAAAGTTCTCATGGGAAAGAATTCTTTTTGACAAGCGTCTAAAGAAAATGAAAGGTCGCTGGACCCGGGAATCTGCACGTGGTCAGCAAACCCAGCTCCCTTTCAACCTCTCACCTGATGTGGTCCCCAGCCAAGCCCTGCTCTCCCAAAAGCACAAAAGAGAATGATGGGAAACCGAGCTCTCTTCATCCAACTGCGGTGGAGAGTCTGACTTCTACCCAAACCAAGCCACTCGGGCCCAGCCTGTGTCTTGCCCATCAAACCTGCACCTCCTTGTCTAGCTCAAGTTCCATCAGCAACTTTCACGGCAGAGCAGGAACATAACAGAAAAATAAATCAGTGCCTAATGGCTTCGAGAACGGAGGGGTTCACAATTACGCGGCATCCACACGCTAATCTACGACTCCAGCCTCGAAAGAGCTCGAGAGCCGACTCCAAATTCCTGCAGTGATAAGGGGCCTCTGCATTTAGCCAGGCTGGCATAAAAGAGTTTTTATGATAATTATCTTAGTGAGGAACGTTTTTGCATTTTCTTTCTGCTGGATTCAGAGTTTAAGTGGGGGTGGGGAGTGGCTTTTGGGGCGGCAAAGAAGCGACCTTGACAGCAGAGGGTGGAAAAGTCAAATATTTGATGTTGGACTATTGTGTGTGGAAAGCAATTAGCCCACAGACGTTTGATAGATTATTAGGAAAATGTAGACTCAAGTTATTTAATATCGGGGGTTGGAGGCAGGTGGGGAACAGGAATCAAGGTTTTTTAAAAAACCTTGGGAAGAAAGAAATTTCATTGTACAAATGAAATTCCGGAGTTGAGTGCTCTCCTTAAAGTTAAGTAGATTTATCTCCCGGAGCTCTCGTGCAACATCTAAGATTCACAGGTCTTTTCAACAATTATTTCAGGGAAAATGAGACCTCCCTCTTGCTACTCAAATCTTGCAGATTTATTTTTCTTTTCTCCACCGCCTAATTAAAACCAAACTTTAGAGGAGAGCACAGACAGCACCCGGCTGGCAAAACTGTCCTCTGTGGCGATTTCCTTTCTGCCGAGTCAGGGACAGAGACTGCTGCCCSACAGAGGGGGACTCGGACTGCTGGGCCAGGCCTGGGTTGAGGGGTAAACTAAGGCAGTCTTGGGGGTCTGGTCCTAAAGCCTGCCTGCTAATTCCAGCTGCCCGGCCAGCCACACGGCTCCGTCACCGGGAAGTCGGAGGGGCTCCTTGGAGGAACTCGGGGTTCATGGCATTAATCATTAAACCTCGGTATGTTTGCAGGGGAGGGAGAGGAAGCAGGGGGGAGGAGCCCGACCTCCCTCCTTCCTCTGGCGTGAGCAGGAATCGCTAGTTCTGGAAACAGCTAGACGGAGGGAAGGCCTTTCTGTCCACTGGTGTGGTCTCATCCAAAAAGAAGCCGCTGAACATCTGTTTAGCAAAGCCACTGAGGGCCACCGGCCTGTGCTCTTAGGCCGGGTGGCCGGGTGGCCGGGTGGCCGGGTGGGCCCCCCCTCAAACCACTGGCCCAGGAGCCCCGGCTGCTCAGCACCAGGAAGGAATGCCAGCCCGGGCTTTGGGACCGCGTCTGTGGGAGCTGGCTTCTCCTCGAGGGGTACAGACAGACAGAAAGGGGCACTGGCTGGTCACATCCTAGGGGACAGGTACTCTGATGACAGAGAGGGAAGGAGAGCAGAGAGGTTGCCCAGCCTGCAGGGAGGAGCAGAAGACCCACTCCACCCTCGAGTTGTCCTCCCACCCAGGACAGGCTCCCGACTCTCCCGAACTTCGAACTGCGAGTGAACATCACTTCTAAAGACCCATATGTAGCCATCATCCTCTTATCCGAGATGACAGGAAGCCCCAAAGTGGGCAGGGGCAGCCTTCCAGGTCACAAAGTAGGCTACGTATTATTCCGAGGGTGGGAAAACTTATCATGGAAATAATATTAATAGAGCTTTACAAATCACTCTAAAGACAGAACTCGGCAGGCTACGATGGCCACACTGTCCTCGCCCTTCTCACATCTGGGGTGAGACTCCGAGGTCCCAGGGAAGGAGGGAGGAAGCCCCCAGGCTGAGGGGGTCCAGCAGCACTCCATCAGCTGACCTGGGGTCTGCAAACACTGGACACTGCATTGCCAGACGCCCAGCCCCCCAGCACGTGGTGTGACGTGAGGAGACACCTGGTACCCTCCTGCGTGGGGTGGGGCCCAGGCGGCGGCCCATGGGGTCTTACCATCCAGGCTGGGTGGCACCGCGCCCAGGGAGTAGCCACTTTCCTTCACGTGCACCAACAGCTCCTCACCCGGCTCAATGTCCTTAATGACTTTATAATAAATCTAGAAGGAAGAGACCAGAGAGGAGGGTAAGCCTGGGCACTGCCGCTGTCCGCAGAGCCCCGGGCACACTCAGCCCCACAGGCCACTTGACCTGGCTTCTAATTGCTGCTAAGAGGTTTCCCTCAGGAGCTGAGCAGCGTGTGCACAAAAGGAATGGAGTCCGTTTTAATTTGTTTCATCCTGTTTGGGGATACTGATAGAAGAGGGTGAAAAATCAAAGAGGTGAGGGTCAGTGTCAAACCCCCAGTCAGGGGGTCTCCTGGAAACCCCCAGACTGGAGCAATTCTCACTGGGAGCAGGGTTTGGATCCCTTCCGTGTCCTTTCCTTTGTGGGTAGAAGCCAGAGGCCCCGGGCTGCAGAGACAGAACTGAGCACCAGCTGGCCACCAGGGGCTCAGAGTGCAGCGTGCATCTGGTTCTTTTTGAAGGTGGCCGAGAGCAGGCGCAGGCTGTGGGTAAGGACACTGCCTGAAATTCCCCCAGGAGAGATGCAGCCAGAGTCACGGAAGGCTGCGTGTGGGAGGATGGAGGACCTGCCGTAGCTTAATGCCCAGCACTTGGCAGTGGGCTGGAGATGGGGGTGCCCTGAGAACACAGTGGGGGTGCAGGGTACATGGTACAGCCTGAAGGAGCACTGGGGTCGAGGGGAACCCCATCTGGACTGTCTTGCCCAGCAGCTCTGACCTGGGCCATGTCTCCTGAGAAAAGTGGTCTTCTCTTGGCAGTGGTGAAGGCAAAGGGCCAGAGGAAGAAACCTCTAGCAACTTAGAAAGGGGGGCAGGCCATCTTGTCACTGCAGGTCCCCAGGGACTTTGGGGAGGACCCAATCTGAAGACACCAGGATTCGGGACCCCCATGTGGGCCACTCCTCCCTGGGCGTAGTGACACCTTCAGGCTGGAAGGGCTAGAGGTGTGGGCACTTTTCTGCCCGGGCCATCGACTGCCTGCCGTGGCACAGGGGTGTGTGGGGCTCTATTCTGATACCTGTAACAAAGAGCTTCTGGGAACCTGCCACCTGGCCTGAGGGCTGCCTGGGAGATCCTCAGCACCATCCTCGTGGAGAAGGGGTCCAGGACAGAACTGAATGGGCAGAGGATGGAACCCTGACCAGGAAGACAGGGCTGGGTACACTCAGGCGCTCCAGGGGTTGAGGGGAGGGGCTGTCCTTGCTGTGAGTGACACTTCTCCCTGCACTCTCCAGTTAGTATGGGTCAGACTCCACAGCAGCTGGCCCTGGTTGGGGTCGGTGGCTAGAGGTGGTCAGCACTGCAGAGACAGAGCTGAGCACCAGCTGGCCACTTGCCTCTCTAGACTGCACATCTGTCCCCCAAGTTGAGGGCTGTTACCCATCCAACTCCACAGGACACCAGTGAGCTTTCAGGACACACAGAGAGGCTCCCCACAGCCCAGAACTCACTGGCTGCCTATTCCCAGGACTCCCAGCCGCCACCCTACTCGAGGTAGAAAACACACAGGTGCACACACATATATCTTATCAGTGTGTGAAGTCCTTCTACCAGCAGTCGGTAGTAGTTATTTTGTTTGGCAGTTATTTTCAGGTAGATTGATAAAATAATGAGTAGATTTTAAAGGGGACCAAATTAACTTCATTAATGAAACCAATTAAAATCCCAGTTTTGTATCATCTAAAAAACAAACAAAAAAAAACCTCTCATTGGCTGAACTTAAAAAAAAATCAGATTTAAGCCACAGTGTTTCAAATTCAGACACAGAGTCCAGCAGGCCAGGAAATGGCCACTTGGAGCCACAGGGGCAGGCATGGTTAGGAGTTGTTACCAAGTGGGGCGGCCACACTTCCCCCACTCCGCCAGAGCTGCCTCAGGTGGATGTGCTGCGCCTCCAAGGACCCCCAGTGCGTAGGCGGGCGGGAGCAGAAGGTGTGCCCAGGCAGCTCCTATCCTCCCTGCTGCCCCTCCCCCCCCCGCCCCCGCCCCAGCCTAGAGGGTCCCCGGACTTGTGAGGCCAGCACGTTCCCACCCGGCGACCCGCGCGGTGGGTGCATCCTCCCGCAGCTCTGCCTACTTAGATGGGCGCAGAGGTTGGGAGACACCCCCTCCCCAGGCCGCCAGCAATCCTGGGACCCCACCCCGTTCACCCCGTGGGAAGGCCTGTCCACCTCCTAGGAATCCCTCCCCAGCCCGCCGGCTTCTCTCTGGGCTGCCCGGATCCCTGGACCTCAACTCCCAACTCTGGCTCCGGGCAGCCCAGCCGCGCCTCCGGGAATCCCCACCCGGGCTCTGGAAACTGCCCAGCCCTCCTCCTCCCGCCTCCTCCCAGGGCTGCAGGGACCCCGAGACCCCACACCCCCACACCTCTACTCCTGGGATCGCCGGGCCTCCTAGGACCCCAACTCCTGGCTGCGAGGACAGGAGCCTCCCGGGGGACCCTCCCTGCCGCCGCGGTCACCGCGCCGCAGCCGCGATCTAGCGCGTTCGGCCGCGGGCGCCCGTCCTGGGTCCCTGGGCCCGGGACCCACACCGTGGCTGCGGGGCGCCTGGCGGGGGCGCGCAGGGGACACAGGGCGGCAGGCCGGGCAGCCGTGGCCGCTGGGACTTTGAGCCGCGGACGGAATTAATCGCTATTAGCGCTAATCGCAGGGCCCAGGGCGGGGCCGGGGTGTCCCCGACCTGCCTCCACCTGGAGGTGGGCATGGAGGTGAACAGGAATCAGAGCCACTGTTTCCAAACTCGGCCGACCCCGCCTTTACCAACGGGGCCGACCCCGCCTTTACCAACGGCGCCGAGGTACGCGGAACAGCCGGCCTGTTCCAAATGGCACCAGAGGCGTTATCGGCCAGGCGCGCGCCGAGCGCCACGGTTCCCGTCCGCGGTCCGGCACTTCCCGGGACAAAGGCCGGCTTCGGTGGGACGCGCGGCGGCGGCGGACGGGGGCTGGGCATCTCCCCCTGGCAGGGCTCCTTCCGTGCCGGGCCCGTCGTAAATTACATGGCAGCCCCTTAAAAATTCCTGCAGACGGTTTATTGTGTGGCGCCAAATTAGCATCGCGGCTGAGTTTTCACAGCAAGGAAGAAAGTTCGTTCAAGGAAAATGAAGCCCCGGAGTCTGGTACCAGACTTTAGCCCCCAACCGCTGGCACTGGGGAGGCACCAGACCACGTCTTGCTCAGGTGACAGCGGCCAAGCGCACGGGCTTTTCCTGTGCCAGTGCACTGCACTGTTTAGGTGGGTGTGGGTCCTGGGCCTGTGACCCTGGGGTGGCCGGTGGCCTCCACCAATAGCTGAGGTTGCTAGTGCCCAGAGCTGTCTGTTCTAGACCAGCCTGGAGGGCAGCCCTGTTTCCTCCCCTCGGCTTCTCTCTGCAACCACAGGGCTTCTCTGAACTTGGGGAACAGCACAGAGCACAGGTCCTTGGAATCACAGCCATGCTTAGTGTGACCTGGCCTGGTCCTTCTCCCTTCGTCACTCTCCAGACCTGCAGGCGGCTCCTCAGAGTGAGCAGAGGTGGGGGGCAGACAACCACCACCTTTTCCGCAAAAGCCGAACAATCACTCAGGGAAGGAGGGTGCAGCACGGGTTCTGCCAAGGGACCAGCTTGGCGTGACCATGAGTGCCAGTCAAGTCCCTATCCAGTCCCCAGCAGTGTTCTGGAAGACACGTTTCACAGGGGCGCCAGGCTTTGAGGTGCTTTCTCCATGGAGTTCCTGACGGATATATTTTAGTATCAGATCAAATCACAAGCGGAGTCCCCACCTTTGGATTGAAGAGTTAAGTGCCACAGTTTTCATTCCCACTTAATCTAAGAATTTTAACATTTAAATAAATGAAAAACTCTATCCAGATTATATGGGGGTTTGAATGACTAGATTCAAAGTCAGGTTCAAAGTCAGCGGATCAAAGACAGGTGGCCGTCTCCTCCCTGGAATCATTGATTTTTTCCAATCTATTAATTAAAGTCCTGGACAACTGTATTTTTCCTCTTCCTTGACTAGGTATAAGACACTTTAAGGGGGTGGAAATGTCCTTCCCTGTTCTTAGAAAACGAAAACCCGGGGCTGTGGCTGTAGCTCAGTGGCAGAGCGCTTGCCTACCATGTGTGAGGCACTGTGAGGTTCGATCCTCAGCACCACATATAAATAAACAAATAAAGTAAAGGCATTCTGTCCATCTACAACTACAAAAAAAAAAATTCAAAAGAAAAAGAAAACTCAATCTCTCAGCATCCCAAACTTGGGAATCCCCCTGACTTGCACCAGCAAAGGTTTTGTGAGGCACAGACAAGGCCTCTACCACCACCACCCACATTGGCAAGTGGAATTTGGATTCCTCTAAAATCATTGCTGAAAAGAGAATTCACCTAGCAACCCACATGCCTCTCTCCTGTCCTCCTGGAGACAGACTGGGCCATCCCTGGGGGTTCTCCTGTGAGTCTAAGACCTTAGAAGAGACTTGGTGGGTCCCAGCACTGTCTCTTGGTGACTTTGGAAGCCTCACTCTTTATTTTCACTGCTTGCTGGCCCCCAGCTGAGCTGTTACCTTCTGGGTCAGGGCTGTCAAGGCCAGCTGAGGGTGGAAGCGTTTGGTTTTGAAAAACCAACTTTAAAAGATGCTCCAAGATCCAGCAGGAGCAGCGTTTGCAGCTGTCCCTGCGCGGCTTGAGCAGAGGTCTTCATTTCTCCTTCCCCAGATGCATGCTGTGACCTCAGGGGCCTTCCTCTGGCCTGTGTTGTTGCCTGCTTTCTCAGAGCTGGGCAGGAGCAAAGGGACAGCAGTTCTGGGCTCAGCATCCTGGGCAGGCTCCAGAGACATGCAGACAATTCCTTCCTCTGGCCAAGAGGAAAAAGCTCATCTGTGTCCCTGGGATTCGCCACGTTCCTCTCTTCCCATGCCAGGCGGATGCAATTTTATCTGTGCCTAAATTATTATTATTTTGTTGCTGTAGATTCTGCCATCTTCCCAGCAGCTCAAACAGAAAAAAAAATCTACATACTTATTCCTTGTGCACAGTTTGTAAAAATATAAA